TTTAGCCCCTCCCTTCTCCTACTGAATTTCCCAGTTTGCTTTTCTAAGCTCATTCTTTTTTTACATTTGATGGTAGGACACTGTAAAGACGTACTTCAACTAGTTTAATAGTTGTTTTCCCCATAAAGGCTGCTATAACTTAATGCCAGATTCGAATATTTTCACTGCTCAGCTCCTATACCTGTTCATCTCCATTACGATATCATAAATATTACAAAAGATTCTGCGAACTTTTTCATGATAGCTGCTCTAGAAGGGGGCCGGTGATAATAGAAGTTTCTTGCTGACGGAAAGACTGCCTGCCCTGTTCAGGCAGCGTGCCCGTTATAGAAAGGTCGCAACCATTTTTCTTCGCTTTCACTTGTCGAAAACGAAAACGACAGCGAAAGTTGGTGATATGTTCCCCGTGAACTCCCCGAAATGTAGCCAACGGTGAGCTCATTACCCTTCAAAGTCCGAAAATTACTGCGTTGAATAATCCCGATTCTAGAGTAAGCCCATGCATTCGATTTCCGTTCAGAATCGTAACGACATTTGATTGCGTATGTGGCCTATACAATGATTTGCGGTTGTCAACTGCCGATGTATGAATCAGTACTTTTATCCTTCAATTCGAGCATTGTGTCAATCGAGTGACACCGAAGGAGTAGAGAGCTTGATATACCTGGGCGAATATCGATCCGGAGCCGATTTCCGTACTCCGCGTGCAGTGCCACTTGCATCTACATCACCTCCTCCCTGTCTTGAAAGATCTGCTATGCAAATCGTATTTCTACTAGCGTTCGAAAACGATATACGAGCACGTTGCCCCATGAGGTCTGAACTTCATTTCAATGCACTCGCCTTTTCGAGTTAGTACGAACACAGATAGGTGGCACGATGAAGAGGCAGTTGTTAACTTCATGACATTGAGAGCTTTCATCTTACAAACTAAAACTGGCGAACCTCTTGAAAGCGCTTGACTAATAGGCCGAATAGTCCTCTCGAAAACAAGAAATCGCTTTCAAAAGCGCTCAGACCGGTGGAATACGTATAACTGGAAGGGTTTTTCTCTTGACAGTGTAACATCGCACTTCGGGAGGTCTATAAGAAATTACCTTGAGATGATCAACCCTATGATCCCCACAAAGAAGGGAGTAGGCCGTTCAAGAAATGATGAGGAATGGAATACTTTATTTGAAGTTTTTTGATACCGCTAAGAATTGAAGCTCAGTTGATTATTACTGGAATTACTTCTCTTACTATTACCTCTTAATTACGACGATGGAAAGTTCAGCGAGTTTCACTACAGGTTGAAGGGTATAGACAAGGTTGTGTGACTGCTCATTCCCACAATAGTACTGTACAGTACCGTAATTAGTACTGTATAGATCGCTAGTGGATACGGTACGCTGTTGTTTGACTGATTTTCTTTGATTACCTTTGATGATACACGAGACCACTACACTCCTTAAAATGGGTAAAACTATCAGGCATCGCAGAATGTGAAAGGTTTAAAGAGGAGCCTCTAGAGATTGATCAATTCTCCCTATCGTTAGCAATACGTCCACACGGTCGATTTCATTTTATCGTACAAATTTTGGCTTATACTGCACGTTGTTGCACGTCAGGGTTTTTGTTTTCTCGATCGGATATGGGTAGCAATCAAGCTATTCCAAAAACAGGAAGGTCTAGATGCTTTGAACGAGTTTTTGCCAGGATTCCTGAAACATATCCAAGAGAATTCCATCACTCGAACCTTACATGCTATGATGGCAACTAGCTAACAATGTATTTGTCTAAGTAAATTATTTATCTATGACTCCTATCTAAAGTCTGCGACAATTTAGGGCAGAGAGACCACACCAAACTCATCTAAAAGGTAACTACCTGCTTTTTGAAGCGATTAATTTTAATAGAAGTGATACCTGAGTATTTTAAGGTCAACATGTGACAAAATAAATATTTTTTCTACGTGATTATACTTTATCAAAACATACGATTTATTCAACTACCAACTTATTTTTTTCCAGAATTTTGTACAACTGATAGTTCTTTGTGCGGACTTTAGAGCGTCAAAGAGTACCACGTACTCGTCGTCTGAGATAACCGTCTGGGGTAAGAGTAAGACCGTCAGGTGACACTGCACATCGCCTATGTACATATGAGTTCTGAGTAACGGGAAGTTGAAGACTTGCCTCATGGCACTCTTGAAGAGTAGAATCGTCTCGACGAAAGGTGCTCGAGTTGAGAGCATAGTAACAACCGAACTATACAGGTACCCTTCTCCTGACTATAACTGTGCCTTGGAAGTTGACCTAATATTTGTGCAGAAGAGCGCAAATTCACCCAAGAACGGCGAGTTGTGGGCAAACTATGGCATCGGATGGGACTCAGACTTGTACTCGTGCGTTCCGGGCACAGTGTTCTCTATCAATTACACTACCGAGACCCCATTTGCCCTTGTCTTCTTAATGGCTTAGATGACTTCTACATCACAGACTCTTGCTCTCTACCTTCTTCCGTGTGGTTCCACCCACACATACTGCATTCAATTACTTCAAAGTCGTCTTTTACAAAGGGTTGCTTACCTTAAGGCTTTCCATTCATCAAAACTCGGTTTTATACACTCATATAGACAAGGATGAGACTTGCTAAGGATAAGGACTCTGACCAAATTCTCCAAAATAGGCCTGCGGCGGTTTTTTTAGAGCAATTTGGCTGAAGAAATGATTTGCAGTTTAGCTTAATAGCGAGCGTATCAGTACTTGGGACAAACGGGACAAATATGGGAATGAAGGATGGATTCCCGGAAGGTGGAATTTGTTCCTAGATTGGTCTGAGGTATCGTTTTTTGAGATGGCGCCGATACCATTGCGCCTCCTTTGCCCACTCCAGAGCTGCACACTATTTGGGTAGGAAACACCGGCGCCTTACAAACCCTGTTATATCCCTTGTCCTCTGACGCTGTGGAACGTTTGACGATACAACTGCCTTCCTTTGTCGGCCATTGTCCCTCAATCTCTCGTATTGAGAGGTTTTTTGAAGTTCTCGCCTGATTCAAGTTCTTTTAGAGCTCCAGCTAAGCCTCTGTAAGTGTTCCCTCTAAGTCTTCAATTGCATCGCCGTCGACTTCGACTTTCAAGGGTGGGCTCCAATCTGTCTACGATGATGGCGGTCAAACAACATGCATATGTGTTGGCCGTTCCCTTGTGGTAGTGGACTGTCACTACTTAGCCCTGCTATTGTTATGGTTCCGGTCAGCTCATGAATCGACTCCACGACAAATGCAAACAGACCCATGTAACACTCGACCAATCCCATCATTCCGCCACATTTCACATCAAGAGATCGTTCCGCTCTTGAAAGGAGCAATTTTCATTTCTTTCTATGTTTTCAACAGGTTTTCTGAAGTCAGAAGGTGTACCAAATTCATACAGTGCCATTTATTGTTGGGCTCCGCTCAATCCGCTTCATTTCGGAACTCAGAACCTATTCTACCGTAACTCTCTATCTATCTGTCTCTTAGTTCATACTAGTTGAGCGACAGGAGTCGGATTAATTATTCAGCAAAATCAAGTATACTTTGATAGAGGACATGAAAAAGTAGGAATTCTCAGTTTCCTCTCATCAAAATCTCTTGGAAGAGTTGGAATACGCTGGGCTCCAACTTTTCAGCCCTAAATACGCACTCGTTCTTTCATATGCCTATAACACTGTAGACACACCTATACCATTCGCACCTAGACTTTGTCCTTTTGAGCACATCCTTTGAATTACGGTACTTCTATGAAAGCATATTGAATAAGAAAACACTCAGATTGATTTAATGTTCTGTAAAGTGCTGTTATTTCGCCGCAATACGCTATACCGAGGTATCTTAATGTTGACGAGTTTTATCTGTAACTCGCCATCCTTGTGACACCCAGGTTTAACGTAGACACTTTTATCAGCTAAACCTCTGAACACTTTCGGCCGCAGGAGTAGATGTGTGGAAAGGAATTTCCAGTCGTAGGGTTGTTGTACAACTCGATTTGTAAGCGCAGTTCGTGAAAAAATAGTTTCTGACATCTCCCTATTGTATGAATTCGAAGCTTCCCCTTATACCATACCTGTCGTTATTAGGGCAAAAAACGTTTTGGATAGGGCACAAGAAGGTACCAGAGTTTGTGTCGTGTGAATGCCACACCCCTAGTGGGCGAGTTCCAACGGCTTTGTAGAAGCTGCACCATTCACAAGGGAACCAATGTAAGAAGTTAAAACAACTTGAAATGACTCATAGCGACAGCGAAAGGCAAATCTGGACAGTTATAGTTTGGTGTATACAGCTCTTTGCACGATGGAAGCAAGTTAAATCTCATTCGAAAACCCCTTACATGCCATTTCTGTCACGGTGATCTCGTACAACCTCCACTTCCACTACTTTTAGAAAGCTCGAAGTAGGCGGATTTTCTCGCTTTCTTCGCCACTCGCCTTTACTCAACAATTCCGCTTTTGAATATAAAAAGGGTACCTCAAAATTATCGTGAACTGTGCCTTTAATGAGTAACACTCAGTTCAGCTCTTTGCACTTAGCTATCTTGTAAGTTTGCAAAGTGACTATGTGCTTTGAGTTTCCATTTGCACCGGCACTCTTGTCCTTATGATAGCACCTAAACATCATTTTTCGAAGATCGATCTCAAGTCAAAATCGTGGCGCAACCTCGGCTTATCGGATGCGTCCGAGAAGATTTGGCATGAACTAATTAATTTTCATAGGAAATTTCCCCATGAAATGATCATTTCCTCTTTCTCATTAGTTGACTACCTTATCCTGCAATAGGATCTCTGCCATTTGGCCCCTTGCCTACTCATCTGAAAATGTGTGAACTCGCTTGTTTTGAGTTTGGTTGCTAGTAAGCTCCAGCTACTGTTCCCTCTCTTTAGGTTTCGATCAGAGAATAAAACCACAGGAGGTCTCCTTCATATTCTCCACCTCTTTTGGAACACGCAACCTATCTGTACACACGAAAGATTCCACTATGGGAAGGTTGACCATTTACGGTCCCTTCAATCATTCCACTTGCTTCATTTCTTCTCCTGCAATTATTCTGGAGATGAGACCTATTTTGTTTTGTTCTCTAATTGCGAGTAAAAATATCTTTTTCTCTTTTTCAATCTCTTTTGCTCTCATTAACAATTTGAATAGGCCCATCATCAGTGAATCTTCTCTTTCGTGTTGTCTGCTACGTTTCTGGATTCGACTGAATAAATTGATAAACAAACACATTTCAGGAATGAACCGCATATCGGAAATCGAGAACATCCTACATCGATTGATATTGATCGATGAGACAAGCTTAATTGTGAATAGCGATTGGAACGACGTCGCTGACGACATCGTTCGTGTGAGTCCCGCTTTGCACAGATTATGTCAATAGCCAAAGCTGATTTAAGCTTCACAGCTCCACCCTCTGGCCAATCGATACAACTGTCAGAAAACGATTCATAAAGGGCAATTTCATTTATCAGGACGTACTATCCTCTTACTCATCACTCTAATACTCCTTAAAAAAAATTCTTGAAGCGGTCAGAAAATAAAAATTAGATATAAAGTAAGGTAAAATGGTAAGCGTAAATATATGTGTAGTTGACAGCAGCGAAAAATTCATTATTTTTCCTATGGTAGTAACAGCAAAACAGTTTTTGAGTGGAGTGTAGTCTCAGCTCTCTCGTTGTCATTGTTATTACTATTTATTATTGTCATTAGAGCATACTATAGATACATAGCGTCATAGTTATTATTAACCACGACCACGAAAACGAAGCCAATACCTTCACGAGTGTGTTTTTCATTTCATGAATGATAGAGCAACTTAATTAATTTAATTTAATCTTTTTATGTTTTAATTTTCAATTTTAATATATCAATTTTTTCGAATTGGTTTTATGAAGCGAAGGTGTTCAAAAATTCTTTTCGAATCGTCACCGAAGTTGAGTGAAGTTGTTCCTTCGAGTACATTCGGAAAGAGATGGAAATTCAATGATCGTATAATGCTCTGTAATATCATTCTGGGGGCTTGGAACTAGGTTGTTGGGGTAGGGAATACCTAACATCCGAAAACCTGGTCCCTGTTTCGATAAGTAGTGCCCTGTCGAGTGGTTATCCTTAGCACCATTCACTTCCTACTATTATTCGCTTCCTCCGTTGTAGAAGTGCTGCACACTCCTGTCATTATTTACTGTTTTCGTCACCCAAGATTTCGGACAAGCTGCGAATATGGGAGGTTGGGCTCCTCTCCCCCTTTTTTATGAAAATATGTATTATTACAGTAACTAGTCCTTTCTCAGGTCCTCTGTTTCCATCTGATTCTTCCCAGTCTGTTTAGTGTTTTTTGGTTCTTTTTGTTAATGTCGATCGGAGATTTTCCAATGCCTTTCTGTTGCTTCTTGTCTTGGCAACTGACGGGTACACAAAAAAATAAATAGTACCTTATACAGACAGCCACGAAACGGGATACAGCTTTACACCTACACCTCATTTGAATTTTGCAAATCCATTTTATTAAACAACCAGGCGAAACTTGTTGATATCAATTGCGGAAAATGTTTGACGAAAGAGCTGTGATAGGGTATCACTTCAAATTATCAATTTACGCATTTATATTATCGGAACATTCTTTCATCTTTCAACGACGTCTACTCGATGAATCTGCCAGAAGCTTATCTCCGACTTTTCAGAAACTCAACATGGTCAGAGCACAGTGTTATCGTCCCCTATCACCGCGTTCCTTGGAATGTTCCCCACGGCCGTCTACGTCACCGCGACTGCTTGACTTGACACCTCCAGCGAGCACGCTGAGCTCAGCAGCCAGTGAAATCTGTACGTTTCCAACAAACCTATCAAACTTAGGGACTGTCCCCAGAATATGAAGATTTTCAGCCGAAATGCCAACAACCTGTTCTACGGATATCTCATATCAAAGTGCTGCTCATGCTTTCAACCGAGAAATCTTCTCACGATGTGTTCAGATAGTTGAAGCAGCCGACAAACAGGGACATATTGAAATGTAGGAAACCGAGTTGAAGCTGGATGAGTTCAAATTATTTTACAATTACTGATTTCTAGACAAATGATCACACTTGCCCATCACTCCTATATCGCTATGGTCAACGAAGCCGATAAGACAGAAGACGCGTTGAAGCTGGCTACGTGGTGGAATAAGTTTCTCGGTCAGTTGCTGAGATTCCCCGATTGGGAAAGTACGATGTACTGAGAAAAATTAGCCAGGTCACGACCCCAGCGATCAAATATATAGCAAATAGTCATTCGATAAATTGTATGCTGGCATGGTAGACAGGAACTGACACTAAAAAACAGCTTTAGCATCAGCCAAATGGGTAGAATAACCTTCCGAATGAGTTGAGGCCTTGCTTCGCATCTGAAACAGTTTTCAAGACAACATTGAGGTGTATGTCTTATTATAGCATACCCGACCTCCCTAGCCACGCCCATCTCAAGAAGTAACGCCCTCTACAAAAGGTCATCATGTCGCGTGAAGGGCTTGCGATTGATGCAGTAATAAAAAACACTGGGTTATATTGGTAAAAACAGTAAACAACAACTTCCCTGGGCATCCATATATCTCGAGACCCCCTCAAACAACTCACTGAAAGGAAGGGCCTTGTCCGAAATATTCTTGATCCTTCATTTTCCTCATCGTTTAAGGACTCGCTAACACATCCTGCTCTCATTTTTGTAAACCACCAGATTTACCTGAAATATCCACAGAATCTAGCTGCAATTTGCTGTACAGAGTCCAAGTAAAGGCAGAGAAAAGGGAAAATGAAAAGTGAACTTGAAAAGTTTATCTATTATGATCAGATTTCAGAAGGTGTCGAATGCGGTCGTCCCAATGCCGAAGTATTGGAAGTGCTTGAAATGCGAGCTACAGCTTTGCAGAGCCTTATCGAACTTGACGACGTTAACCGTGACGCTCTTGTCCAGAAACTGATTGATATCCTAGTGAGGAGCTATAAGGTAAGACCTAATTGGTTCTTGGTGCATCCCGTTCAATACTAGGAAGCAGAACAACAAGCTGACCTGGAAACGACCAGATTTATTTGCGAAAACAATCAAGGAAGCGGGAAAAACGAACCAGCACGACCCTTTGAGTTGCCTTTACAATACAACAGTCTTTCTTGAGAGTAGAGAGTATAGCGAGAGCCGATAGATATGACCACTGACCAGCACTCTCGAAGAAATTTTGACTCGGAGAGTTCACTTCTGGATTGGGTCATTGCCAGGGGTGTCGCTTATTACAGGAGCACTTTCGCTCGGATCAATACTTAACTCATCAGAGTAATAGGGATGAAAACATTGAGATATCGACTCCAAATGAAGTAATTCATTCTCAGAACCCCATGAAAGAACCATTTCAGATTTCTTGTGTTGTGAATCGACATTTTCATTCACGGACACTAAGAAGGCTGGAGAAGATTGCGGAATGGTTGGAGGAATATGAACATGGCGGTAAGTCTGGAGTAACAGTCCTTTCGTAGTCACATTTCTAGTGTTGCCTAACTGGTTTGCTCTTGCCGGACGGCTGTACCTCTCCCTAACTCCATGGCACCCGGCATTTGTTCTGTAGGGGTTACCGTGTCCTTCCACTGGGTGCACAAATCTTTTCCTTCAAAGCATGCGTCTGCGCGGTATCGGAGGTGGCGAGCGCGACGCGGTTTTCGGGAAGATATACCCACACCCCTCTATCCGCATTGGTTGCCAGCTGCTTGCTACCAGCTACGCGCCGGCATGGGGTTGACTCCTAGCAACCGTAGTAAGAGTGCACTCATGATCAAAATTCAGACAATAGCGACGTCACGAATATCGAAACTCTTCTCCGAACCGGTATTGACGAAGCCCATGTTGATCGACATCGCTATGAAACCGAAACCCGAATGACCACTAGAGAACGGCGAGACCCGAATTATGTTATGGTAAGTTTCTTAGACGTTCTGTTTTATTACAAAATCCATTCACTATTGCTACCTCATCTTTAGTGCTGCGAAATATTGCGT